GAGGATCGGGATGGGCAGCAGTCGGGGGAGTCGGGGGATGGCAGCGGAACGGGGAGGGGGGGAAAGAGGGGTTGGGATTGTAGTTGGGACGGAGGGGAGCTGGAGGGGAAGGAGGCCGGGGAGGGGGGGAAAGAGGGGTTGGGATTGTAGTTGGGACGGAGGGGAGCTGGAGGGGAAGGAGGCGCTGACGTGGTGGAAGTCGGCCGTCCACGTGTCACTGGTCCTTCCACCGGTTCAGGTACGGGAACCCTATTGCAACTTCTCCTTCGTCTAGATGATGAGGTTCAATGAACTTCTCACACCGCCAGCTGCACCGCGGTTCATCGGCCTGTAGGAGAACTGCAGCGGCTGGAGTCACGCCGGCGTCGCGGTTACCAAGGAGAAAGGCGCCAACTTGGATGCCGGATGTATCCGATCGCCTTGATGGACCAGGTACAAATGCAGGGATGGGGATGACTATCCCCAATTGTGGGATAGAGAGAGGGGGAGGGAGGGTGGGAGTAGAGGTTCGAAACCTGCTCCGATACCAATGTGACGCACGTGCGGAGGGCACGTGTGGAGATGGTGTGAGAGAGAGAGAGAGAGAGGAGATGGACACACACAAGAAGCAGCAGCTGAGTGAAGGTCCGGTTTGGCTCAATGGAAGAACGAAGGAACAACTGAATAAACCAAACTCCCGCCCTGGGCATAGGCCGAAGTGATATACCGGCCTAGGTCCAGGTGGGGAGCAACCTGGTACTGGACCAGGGTCAGGCCGACGGTCTGAAACTGGTCCGGCCTCACTGCCGGGTCGTAGGGGTACCGCTACAGCACGCAAGCGCCTAGAAAAAGCAAGAGAGAAGGGTCACCATAGGGCAGTAGACGCCCAAAGAATGTGGGATACCTTGGGGAAAGGCGCCAGGAGCCACGTGGGACTAAGTAAAAATAATGGTATCCGGGACAAAATATGTCGGGGACCGTCGACGGAACTAAGTGTCGGGGACTGCCAACGGAACAAAGTGTCGGGGACCACAGGTCGGAGGCATGAGAAGGTCTCAAGAGGAAACGGTGGCATCACATGAAGAAAAAATAATTAAAACAAGGTGCACCGTCAAGATCGAGATCTTGACGGCCAAAAATATTAGCACCACTAGTGCAAGCACTAGCGGTAGCTAACGTGGAGGCCAAAAGGAAAAGAAGAAGTAAAGAAACTTGAAGTGGGAGGCATGGGAGCAATCTGAAAAATCTCGGATCAACCTCCCTCAAAAAATGGAGTCAAAAGAGACCCCATGAGAAAAATAGGCCTCTGGGAGAAAATCGGAGCTAGAGGGACCACTGTGGGAGAAAAATAGAGGTAAAAGGAAGCTCCCATGGGCATGAGAAGGCCATTATTGCAGTCCGAGATATAACGGACTGCACCTTGGGCATAGGAAGGGTCAAAATTAAGAGGAAGGGGCTAGAAAAAGGCCTTAACGGCCACTTGACACTTGGCATACTAGAAAAAAAAAAAAAAAAAAAAAAAAAGTGGGAGAATAAGACAAAAAGAGTGAGAGGGAGTGAGTGAGTTGGCCGTCAGTAGGGATTGCCACAAGTAGGGACTGGCAGGTCCCTACTGTCCAAGAAAGGAGGAAAAAGAAAAGAAAAGAAAAGAGAAAAAAAAAGATAAGAGAAAAAGGTCTTAACGGTAAAAAACGGTCACTTGGGGAGAAACATCCATGACCAGATTCATTCTGGAATATGGCGATTACAAAGAACTTCGATTTTCTTTGATTTTTGCGGAAAAAATCAAAG